TTTGAAACTTTGTATAAGACCGTCTTTTTATTACAGGCCTACATATGTCAAAACCGAATCGGACGACTATATCATATAGCTTCCATAGTAGTAATAGTAGTAATTGGTCCAAAAGTAGTTTCTCTTACTCAAGCTCGCCATTTAGAAATATCAGTATGCAAAATCTACTCAACAACTGGTCACGGGTCATGACATAGCTGCTATAGGAGAAGTAGGTTCTCATTTGACAAATAACTTTGTTTTCCAGAATTTACGGCTTCACATTTCTCACATACCTATAAATATTAAATCAATATTAAATCAAGGATATTAAATCTTTTGGCGAGCCAAAGAATTCCTCACTTTCTCGTTAAACTATTATTATGTCAATTAATTCTTTGCAAAATTCAGAATTGTATTGTATGCATAACTAAAACTAAGAAAATATAGCTATGGAAGTATTAATATTTACTATATAGCCCATCAGCATTTATTTCAGCCCGTAGTTGACGGCACACAGACTGAATAAAGTTATTCATGTCACATATTTCTGGTATTTTTATCCATACTTCCTGAATAGCCTTGATGAGAGCGGTTATGTTAGTTGGCTCCGATTCCCCACTCTCTTTAATTCAATCGAGTTTAATTCCGGACTCCAGATGAGAGTGCCAATGACCTTGCTGCAATTGTACAGCAGCCAAGCTCTGCACAGAAATATAAACCGCCATCCCAGTACTCGGGCTTGTTGACATTAGCAATAGTAAAATTTAGACTCATCTGAATATCGACTGTAAGAAGTAACGGCTTCTCTCTAGCTATTTACTAGGAGTACTTATGCATTTTTATAACTAACTCATTATCCGATTGACCCTTGTAATAGTATCTATAAACTAATTGAATTCGATTTTCATCAATTCGTTGACTAGGCAATAAAAATAAGTAAGAGGTTCTAGTCGGGAGCTCCCGACTTGGGGATACCCTGAACCCTCTTCTTCCAACTCCAAATGCAGAAAAGTTGAAATACAAAAAAAAATTGTTCCCTTGGCAGGGTTCGAACTCGCAACTAACCGCACCACTTGCCGCTGCCTCTACTAAAGGGCCACACCAAAAACTGAGCTTTAATGAGAAAAAAAATCAATTTAAATAGCAGCACAGAAAACAATACAATCGCAATCGCAATGCTGTTGATAGAATTCAAAACAAACACGCATGAATGCATGTGCGTGTACATGTATACAGAAATTCTTGGAATTTGCGCAGCAGTTATGCTGCTAACACGTATGCACATAGCTTTTGTGCTTCTTAACCGATCTGAATGAAATTTTCGACAGTACATCTTATTGTAGAATAGAATAAAGAATATTTGTGTATTCTCAAAAATTTAATTGCATATAAATTGTGGCTTAAATCGATGGGCAATACAAGTTGGATAATTAACTTGATTTATAGCCTTTCGGTGGTAGCAGAGAGGTGGCGATAGGTATAAAATGAAAGATACTTGATATATACATATATACTATACTAGAAGCTACATGTCAAGTTTGGTGATTCTAGCTCATATTATTTGCCCAAATTGCTCAAAAAGCAGGATTTCGATATCGATTTTTGTCGATTACTTGGAAACGGGGCAAAGTATCGAACAGCGGAAACAAACTCGATCCGCACGGGCACTAACAGGACCTACAGCCAAAATTTCAAGTCTCTAGCTCTTATAGGTTCTCCATGCGCTCATACATACGGAGAGACAGACAGACGGACATGGCTAGATCAACTCGGTTATTGATGCTGATCAAGAATATACATACTTTATGGGGTCGGAGATGCTTCCTTCTGCCTGTTACATACATTTGCACAAATACAATATACCCTGTTTACCCATTTTTAATGGGTTCAGGGTATAAAAAGAGTTAAATTAGGCAACATATGCACGTCCTTAACATATAATCATGCTAATTGCAATTTTTAAGCACGTAAACTCTATATTAAATTGTGTTTTTATTTTGCAAAGAATCAGTTGACATCACAATGTTTTCCGAATTTTAGTGTTTTTATACCCTGAACACATAGCGGAAATGCGTTTTCCCGCTTTGCTATCAGAGGGTATCTCGTGTCCGACTTAGCACTTTTACTTGTTTTTTCTGTGATCCGATTACAAACGAGATGTCGATTTTTTCGATATTTTCGACCCCCCAGTGGTCGTATATAAAATTGTTGTTATTAACCTTAAAAACTGCGCCAGGCCCCATGTTCATGGGTCCATTTATAAAGACTCTCATCTGTAGCTTTGCTTCCAAATTTGGTGATTCTAACTATTAAACTGAACTACATATATTGATTTGCCACGACCGCAGCGTATGCAAAATATTTTTAGATCGTTCTTTCAAAATTAAACACTTCCAAATGTTGTCACTTAATCTCTAAAACGAGAAGTTATTGCTTTTTCTTTTTGCCTGTGAGCGTAGTCAATTTCATAACATCTGACGCAATATATGTTCGAAATGTCAGGTGTCTAAATTCAACAGCCCCGAAAATGAAATTGCGTTCAAACCCAAAATAATTTTCACTTTGTGGACGAGTATTAATGTAAACGCAATTATTTACGAATGCGGCAAGACAAATAGATTAAAATTTCATTCTCAGCATTATTAATTTGATCCGGGATATATTATACTTTGTTATATAGATATTTCGTATACCATCATAACTTGAATTTCTTTTTAATCCGTGCTTTAATTAATATTGTTAATTTTTTTTAGGTGACAACACCGAAAAACAATACTTTCCAATTGTGCCGATTGAGGATAATCCGTTAACTAGTAATAATTTGGTTATTCAAAAAGCATGAAGCTGTGTATTCGTACATGATTATTTTCAATGTTAAAAATATAAATGAAAATTATTGACTGCATTTTTTTATTGACTAGTTAGGCCCAGCTATGTCCTGCGCAAAAGTATTTATTAATTTTCCATTCGTGTATGGATATTGGCGAATCACGTATTTATTAATGTATACATACTATTAAGTTGAGCTGTACTTGGTTAAGTTATATATACCATACAAAAAAGTCTATGGCTCAGCAAGAGCAAAGCAAAGAGCCGCTGAGTGAATAAGAACACATATATATATTTTTATGAACTAATTAATGCATGCATAATTCACATATATAAACATAGGTGCTTGCACGTCATTGGCTGAAACAAGAACATCTCTCCAGCATGAACATCTGAAAAAATAAAAGTAAGGTCAATTTAGATTGCAGCAGCAAACTCGTAAAAACCTTAGTTATATATAAATTAAACTGCATATTTTAATATATGTATGTAATTTTTTATTGCATTTTATCTTTGAGGTTATTTTATTTTGGAAATTTATAATTAAACTTAAAATTTTAAAAATTATCTAAATGCTATCATCGACATAAAAATACTGATTTTCAACCGAACATCAACAAGTCGCTTCTATGGCTTTTGGAGAGCGAAAAGCCAGTGGGTTGGCGTGTCGTTTGAAGAGTGAAAAGTCAGATGAAAAGCCAGGATAGAAGTTTAGCGTAGCATTCAAATGTGTGTATGTACATAATTACATATCTTAGTGTTTATATTGTCTTTGATATAGCCATGACCGTCTGTCTGCCTGTTTCTATGCGAACTAGCCTCTCAGTTTTAAAGCTATCGTTTTGAAACTTTGTATAAGACCGTCTTTTTATTACAGGCCTACATATGTCAAAACCGAATCGGACCACTATATCATATAGCTTCCATAGTAGTAATTGGTCCAAAAGTAGTTTCTCTTACTCAAGCTCGCCATTTAGAAATATCAGTATGCTTCCTACATATGTGCAAAATCTACTCAACAACTAGTCACGGGTCATGACATAGCTGCTATAGGAGAAGTAGGTTCTTATTTGGCAAATAACTTCGTTTTCCAGAATTTACGAGCTTCACTTTTCTTACATACCTATAAATATTAAATCAAGGATATTAAATCTTTTGGCGAGCCAAAGAATTCCTCACTTTCTCGTTAAACTATTATTATGTCAATTAATTCTTTGCAAAATTCAGAATTGTATTGTATGCATAACTAAAACTAAGAAAATATAGCTATGGAAGTATTAATATTTACTATATAGCCCATCAGCATTTATTTCAGCCCGTAGTTGACGGCACACAGACTGAATAAAGTTATTCATGTCACATATTTCTGGTATTTTTATCCATACTTCCTGAATAGCCTTGATGAGAGCGGTTATGTTAGTTGGCTCCGATTCCCCACTCTCTTTAATTCAATCGAGTTTAATTCCGGACTCCAAATGAGAGTGCCAATGACCTTGCTGCAATTGTACAGCAGCCAAGCTCTGCACAGAAAAATAAAAAGCCATCCCAGTACTCGGGCTTGTTGACATTAGCAATAGAAAAATTTAGACTCATCTGAATATCGACTGTAAGAAGTAACGGCTTCTCTCTAGCTATTTGCTAGGAGTACTTATGCATTTTTATAACTAACTCATTAGCCGATTGACCCTTGTAATAATAATAATTGAATTCGATTTTCATCAATTCGTTGACTAGGCAATAAAAACAAGTAAGAGGTTCTAGTCGGGAGCTCCCGACTAGGGGATACCCTGAACCCTCTTCTTCCAACTCCAAATGCAGCTCGCGCTAAGCGCTCGTTTACTTTACTAGTAATAAAGAAAAATTAACATACAAAAAAAATTTGTTACCAATAATTGAGCTTTAATGACAAAAATCAATTAAAATAGCAGCACAGAAAACAATACAAACGCAATCGCAATGCTGTTGATAGAATTCAAAGCAAACACGCATGAATGTTCTTGGAATTTGCGCAGCAGTTATGCTGCTAACACGTACGCACATAGCTTTTGTGCTTCTTAACCGATCTTAATAAAATTTTCGACAGTACATCTTATTGTAGAATAGAATAAAGAATATTTGTGTATTCTCATAAATTTAATTGCATATATATTGTGGCTTAAATCGATGGGTAATACAAGTTGGATAATTAACTTTATTTATAGCCTTTCCGTGGTAGCGAGGAGGTGGCGATAGGTATAAAATGAAAGATACTTGATATATATATACTATTCTAGAAGCTACATGTCAAGTTTGGTGACTCTAGCTCATATTATTTGCCCTAATCGCTCAAAAAGCAGGATTTCGATATCGATTTTTATCGGTTACATGGAAGCGGGGCCAAGTATCGAACATCGGAAACAAACTCGATCTGCGCGGGCAGATCAAGAATATACATACTTTATGGGGTCGGAGATGCTTCCTTCTGCCAGTTACATACATTTGCACAAATACAATATACCCTGTTTACCCATTTTTAATGGGTTCAGGGTATAAAAAGAGTTAAATTAGGCAACATATGCACGTCCTTAACATAAAATCATGCATAATGCAATTTTTAAGCACGTAAACTCTATATTAAATTGTGATTTCATTTTGCAAAGAATCAGTTGACATCACAATGTTTTCCGAATTTTAGTGCATTTATACCCTGAACACATAGCGGAAATGCGTTTTCCCGCTTTGCAATCAGAGGGTATCTCGTGTCTGACTTAGCACTTTTACTTGTTTTTTCTGTGATCCGATTACAAACGAGATGTCGATTTTTTCGATATTTTCGACCCCCCAGTAGTCGTATATAAAATTGTTGTTATTAACCTTAAAAACTGTGCCAGGCCCCATGTTCATGGGTCCATTTATAAAGACTCTCATCTGTAGCTTTGCTTCCAAATTTGGTGATTCTAACTATTAAACTGAACTACATATGTATGTTGATTTGCCACGACCGCAGCGTACGCAAAATATTTTTAGATCGTTCTTTCGAAGTGTTTATTCCAAATGTTGTCACTTAATCTCTAAAACGAGAAGTTATTGCTTTTTCTTTTTGCCTGTGAGCGTAGTCAATTTCATCACATCTGACGCAGTATATGTTCGAAATGTCAGGTGTCTAAATTCAACAGCCCCGAAAATGAAATTGCGTTCAAACCCAAAATAATTTTCACTTTGTGGACGAGTATTAATGTAAACGCAATTATTTACGAATGCGGCAAGACAAATAGAATCGCTCGCACTCTTCTACTCATCTGCTTATATAAATTGTTGGCAACTTGAACAAGATGGCTACTAGAGCTGCTTTGGATCCTTTTGAATTTGGGACGAGTTACAAGAACAATTTATGTAAAATTTTATTCTCAGCATTATTAATTTGATCCGGGATATATTATACTTTGTTATATAGATATTTCGTATACCATCATAACTTGAATTTCTTTTTAATCCGTGCTTTAATTAATATTGTTAATTTTTTTTAGGTGACAACACCGAAAAACAATACTTTCCAATTGTGCCGATTGAGGATAATCCGTTAACTAGTAATAATTTGGTTATTCAAAAAGCATGAAGCTGTGTATTCGTACATGATTATTTTCAATGTTAAAAATATAAATGAAAATTATTTACTGCATTTTTTTATTGACTAGTTAGGCCCAGCTATGTCCTGCGCAAAAGTATTTATTAATTTTCCATTCGTGTATGGATATTGGCGAATCACGTATTTATTAATGTATACATACTATTAAGTTGAGCTGTACTTGGTTAAGTTATATATACCAGACAAAAAAGTCTATGGCTCTATATGAACTAATTAATGCATGCATAATTCACATATATAAACATAGGTGCTTGCACGTCATTGGCTGAAACAAGAACATCTCTCCAGCGTACACATTTGAAAAAATAAAAGGAAAGTCAATTTAGATTGCAGCAGCAAAATCGTGAAAACCTTAGTTAAATATAAATTAAACTGTATATTTTAATATATGTATGTAATTTATTATTGCATTTTATCTTTGAGGTTATTTTATTTTGGAAATTTATAATTAAACTTAAAATTTTAAAAATCATCTAAATGTTATCATCGACTTAAAAATACTGATACTGAAATCATATGAAAAGCCAGGATAGAAGTTTAGCGTAGCATTCGAATGTGTGTATGTATGTATATAATTACTCATCTTAGTGTTTATATTGTCTTTGATATAGCCATGACCGTCTGTCTGCATGATTCTATGCGAACTAGTCTCAGTTTTAAAGCTTTTGTTTTGAAACTTTGTATAGGTACGTCTTTTCATTACGGGAGTACATATGTCAGAACCAAATCGGACCACTATCTCTATATATAAAACTGTTTGTCCTGACTGACTGATTGGTGATCAACGCACAGTCTAAACCGTAAGAGCTAGGAAATTTTCACGGTAGTTTCCTTGTGTGATGAAAGTGCACGTTAAGACGGGTCTTTCGGGAAATTCCACCTGCAAGTGTGATAAAATCGCGGAAAACGTTTGTATGAAACTTTTTTGTTTACCATCCGATCGGCCTCAAACTTATTTTTAAAGATCTTTGTTTAAAACCATTTGAGGAATGATGTTTCACACTTTTCGGAAAATGCGTTTCTCCTTGGTGGAAATGGAGGTAAAAAGTTTGGTTGGTGACGTTTCGCGCTCAAATTCATTCCCAAGGATCTATATGAAAAATTATTTGAGATGTGTTTCATTTTTTTTGCAAAATCCAAGCTTCCTCGATGAAAAGCGCGACTCTAAGATTTTTTGGTGAGGTTTTAATTTTTTTCCGATTTGCTTCAAATTTATTTCCAAAGCTCTACATAAGAACTCAATGAATACGTGTTTCAGTGATTTGCGAAACTCCACCCACAACAGTGGTAAATTAGCGAAAAATTATGGTATAAAAGTTTTTTGATTACCATCCTATCGGCTTCAAAATCATTTTCAAAGATATTTGTGAGAATTTATTTGAAACCTTCTTCGGAGGAATGCGACTCAAAGGTTTAATAAACGAGAATTTATTCTTCTGCTAAAACATTTTTTAAGTAGAAGAGGAGATCAAGTTGGGTAGAAAATTAAATTAAATTAAATTTTCCGCGGGCATGTATTTTGTGGAAAGATAATATCTTAAAATTTTAGCACAAAAAGATCCACGGGCTAGGCCGGGCAATACCCGCTAGTATCATATAGTTGCCATCGGTCCATAAGTCGGTTCCTGTTCGAAAACTTTTGTTTCTCAAGATATCTTATCCAAACTCGGCATTAATTACATATGTGCAAAATCTTCTCAACATTGGGTCACGGTTCATGACATGGCTGCCATAGGAAAAGTCGGGCGAAAAATAGGTCCTATATGGCAAAATATTTGGTTTTCCAAAATATTTTAATCAAACTCAGCACATATCTGCAAATGGGAAATGTCTACAAGGATATAAAATCTTCGCCGAGCCGAAAAATATCCTCACTTTCTCGATAAACTATTATTGTCAATTAATTCTTTGCAAAATTCAAACTTGTATTGTATGTATAACTAAAACTAGGAAAATATAGCTATGGAATTATTAATATTTGGTATGTAGCCCATCAGCATGTATTACAGCCCGTAGACGACGGGACATAGACTGAATGAAGTTATTCATGTCACATATTTCTGGTATTTTTATCCATACTTCCTGAATAGTCTTGATGAGAGCGTTTATGTTAGTTGACCTCCGATTGTCCACTCTCTTTAAGAAAGCGCATAAGTTTTCAATTGAGTATAATTCAGGACTCCAGATGTGAATGCCAATAACTTTGCTGCAATTGACAATCATTGACATTCGTTCTTTAAATTGTTCAAGTAAAACTCCTTCGTCATCACATAATTAAAAAGCCTATTTTCTGTTCCTTAGCAGTGTTGAGCTTTCTCCGCCATGATAGTAGTACATTATTTGAGTATCGTCCCAAAAAATCGTCACCCCAGTACTCCGTGGGCTTGTTGACAGAAAAGCATTATGCATAATGCGCAATGCATAGAAATGACTAACGAGTTCAATTTTTAAGTACGTAGACTCTATATTAAATTGTGTTTGCATTTTCAAAGAATCCGCTGACATCACAATGTTTGCCTAATTTTAGTGTTTTTTTTTTACTTTTGTGTTTAGAAGAACAAGCAGTGGTCAAACTTTATTTTTGACTTATAGTTTGAACAAAAAGGTCCCCAAATAATTTAAAAAATGTTCACGGATTAATTTAAATTAATAAAATTCATTGGAAATTCAAGTAAGTGCGTATTTCATTATTATTAAAAAAAATTTTTTTTAATTTTCCATAATTTTGTAGCCTAATAGTTTATATGTTTTCCATTTCTTAACAGGACATGGGTAACAATGCACCGAAGATGTGAGTGTATAGGTGGGCCAATTTGGGCAAATGTTTCTTTGCTGCCCATAGCAACAGAGTCAATTTTTAGTAGCGAGACAATATGGGTTGTCGGGTTGTGCGCAAGCGCACCATTTTTTTCGTGCCCAGCCCAGCCTTAAAATTATCAGTGGGTCGTAGGACTACGATAAAAAATTCAAAAGGAAGTAAAATAATAATAATAAAGGTACCAGCCAAGGAGCCACACGGAGCCGGCCAATCTCATCGACGCGCAAAGGATCCGAGCAATAGTGCACATCGACGACTACCGGCGACTTTTTGACCCGTCGCTAATACCGAGAGTCGACCAAGAGCCGAAGCGGCCACGGGCGAGACCACACCCACATCAACCGAGTAAGTCCGTTCCATATCGCTCATCCTCGCCCCGAGCAACGGGCAGAGTCTGAAGGAGACTCATATTGGAGCCCTCTGTAGAAAAATGTTCAAGCTACACGTCAGTGCTGGTTTATAGTCATTTTTTGAATGTTCTTTTCGGAACACTGTCCACTTCAAAACCTAATATAAAGGTATTATTATATGTAAAGCTCTGTCGCAGCAGAGCATAATTGAAAGAGAGAGTGTGCATGCATTAGTGAGTTCATATGTATATGGTACTCTTGGTATATAAGCCAAGCGTGGGATATGCGCCGTCAGCTTTTGGCTTTATGTTTGTTATTGTATGCAACAAAGTGTCGCATACTTATGTATTTAGATACAGGGTGTTATTTAATGCATATACACACTACACCTCCCCTTTTAGGAGAATTAATTGTTCAATTAACTTATATATATAGTTTTGTATCGATAAATTTAATGGTGTATTGATGAATGATGAGTGAGTTGATGTAGAAAAATAAAAATTTTATTATTTTTTTTTTATGTTGGTATTATTCAAATTTTTATATTCATTAACTCTTTTTTTTGTTAGGACAAATTTTAGATATTTACTTTATATTATATATTTTTAGTATATATGCATATATCCTTTTTCCCGATTGGACAAAGAATGTATTATAAAATAAAATTTTGGTAACTATAATTTTTTTTTTTTTGTTTTTTTAATATGTTTTTGTAATTAAATATTGATAGTTACTTTGTGGCTGATCAGGCCTAAAAATGTAATATGTTCAATGCTCGAGCTAAGCTAAGTTTTGAATAATTTTAACCTGTTCTTATTTACTACTTGGGGTTCCTTTTTTCCTACATCTATTTTTATGTTGTTTCTATCTTCTATGCTTATAACTTTATAAGAGCCTAAGTATTTACTTTTAACTTATGCGCTGTATCGTTCTTTAGTAGAACTAAATTTCCTATTGCTAGTTCTATGTCATTTAGTTTCTTATCGTATTCTATCTTTCCTTTTTCTTTTTCTAAATCTACTAGAGTTTTTACTCTTTTATAAGCTTTTTCTAACCTAAACTTAAATTCTTTTACGTAGTCGTCTATGTTATATATAGGGTCAATTCTAGTTTGGTTATTAAATTCTATGAACTGTCTTGGTAATCTACCATAAACAAGTTCGTATGGACAGTATTCATGTACTGTCGATGGTGTAGTGTTGAAAGAATATGTGAAATAATTCAACCATATGTCCCAATCGTCTTTGTCAATCGAAATATATGAACGAATAAATTCGTTAAATGTTTCTACTGTTCCTAATGTCTGGAGATGATGTGCTGTTGATTGTATATTACTTATATTCATATACTTGCACAGGTCATTTATTAGCGAATTTTTGTATTCAGTACCCATGTCCGTTATGAACGTCTTCATAGGAACGTACTCTAGTACAAAATATTCAGCGATAAAGGTTCAAAATTACGTGTTAGTCTAGTAGGGATAGAGAAATTTAATTGGCTAGTCAACACAGAAGATTTCACCAGTAATTAATTTATGAATAAATATTACACCCAGCATGGTTCTACGATTAATTAAAGAAGGAAGGTTAATCATCAGAAGTCTACTGGAGTATGACGGTAACCGCACACGAGGATCCCAATTTAAACCACTAAGGGCAAACAACAAGAATTGTTTCTGAACGGATTCAATTCTGTCCTGATGGGTAGCATATTGTGGTGACCAGATACATGAGGCATACTCAAGAATAGGTCGTACCAAAGATATATAAAGTGTTTTTGTCGTGTACGGATCGTCAAAGTCCTTCGACCATCGTTTGATGAAACCCATAACTATTCTGGCCTTATTGACCACGGTA